TTAAAGGAACGTGTTTTAAAACTTTCTCATCCAGACTATCTACAAGAAGATCTTCATTTGTTAAAAAATATTTTAATTGAAAACTCTTATTCTCCTGATATGCTACATAGGATGCTTTTTTCTAATTTATTAAATATAAATAACTTAACACCATTTTTTGCTAAATCTCAAAACACTGTATCCAACAATCAAAACATATATTATAATTCACTACCTTTTATACCATCATTAACTCCTAAATTAATACAAACATTAAAGGTTATTGACAATATAAAAATAGCAACAAAGAACATCAAAACTATTTCATCTTTTATATTCCAAAACTAAATATCCTATAGACAAATTATATCAAACAAATGTAGTATACAGCATTGTTTGTACTCAGTGTGAAGCTGAGTATATTGGTGAGACTGGAAGAAATCTCTCAAATCGCATTATTTCTCACAAGAGTGATTGTAGAATTAAGAAACCATCTTGTGCTTTGGCAGAGCATGTAATAGACAAAGACCATATTATGGATTTTGATAATATTAAAATTTTATGTAATGAAAGTAATAAATTTAAAAGAACTTTTTTGGAAATGGTTTGTATTAGCAAAAGTGATAATAATTTAAACAAAAGGTCAGAAATTCAAAATTTAAGCAAAATTTATAATTATATAATTTCTATTTAATTTATATATGCAGTCAGTAAAATATCACATTTTGAATTTTCCATGTATTTGTTACATTTTTTCGGGCATCTATCAATGGTGAATAAATCTTCTTCTTTTTTGTTACTAAACAAAGAAGAATTTTTTAAACAAAATTTTATTTTTGACAATATGTCAAAACTAAAAATTTTTAAGTTAGTATTTATGACATTTAGGCTGGTTGTAGCTATTCTATTTTTGTTTACAAATTCAATTTTTTTGTTAAGAAACTTTCATCAAATTTTTCAGAGAAACATTTATTAGAATAAGACATTTTTTTTATTAATATTTTTTGTATTTAATATGTAAGCAGTAGTTTTATATAAAAAACTAATTTTATTTGGTGAGTTAACAAAAAATTTTTTATTTCTAGTTCAACTTTGTAAGATATTTTGTATTTTTTAGAAGCTCTTGATAAAAATTGTAATCACAATTGAAAGCTCGAGTAAAAAATAGTCAACAAATAGCCCTTTTTATTGACTCCAACCCATCAAAAACAGTTTTATATATATATTATATATATAATATATATATATATATATATATATATATATATATATTGAAAAAGTAGTATTTTATTTATTTTATTTTTTTTATAATAAATGTAATTTTCTAAAATATGTGGTTCGTTGTTTAATTTAATATATACCTCAGCTAGCTCAATTATGTGTTCTAAGCAATCTGTCACTGTGTGACATCGACTCTGTAGTCTCCTGGTAGAGTTCAAAAAGAAATTAAACCAAAATTCACTTTAGACTTTTGATAAATTAACCCAAATGAAGCACGTTATTTATTAATATTGAACAAATTATAAACAATAAAATTCGTCTGCAACTTGGGTTGCCTTTAAAAATTTACAAAAATAGGAATCGTGTAAATCCTAATGTGCTTTAGTGTTGTGGCAATAAAAATTTATTACAAAATGTGAAGACTCTCTACAAGTACCCAAAAACTAAATAAATATTTCAACTTTATAAAGTGTTTAAATGAACTATAAAAAAAAGAAACTGAACACTTTACTCCGCTGACTTTAACTTGCATTCAAATATAATCAAATTTTCAAATGATCCCCAAAATTATTATCCAACCTCACTTTAAAACAGTTCTGATTTCTTTAAGGAAACTAAACTACTCGCAAAAATAATCGGTGAAAACTGGAATATCAATCCTCTCTTCGGAAGTTAAGGTACGTACTATTCTATTTTTAATTTAATGATCATTAATATTTTCAATTTTTAAGGCCTATCGCAATTATGTTTCATGAATTTTAATTTTCTCAATTTAAATGAACATTTCTATACTCCAATTATAATTTATAAGTCAAATTGTTTCTCTTACTCTCTGGAACAAATTCTGGATATCTCTGCTGTGGAAACTGTGGAAAAACTAAAATTTTATTTAGACGAGTTAAAAAACACTCCCGACCTATTCCACAGTTTCAGGGCTCCCTTCGTCCAAAAATTCTCGTCGGCGTCTCCAAAAAACCATATTATTATCCGTTGCTAACAGCAACCAACGTTCATTTTTTTTTCTGTCTTCTATTTAAATATTTTAAACCATAAAACTGTCCTGTTTGACATATTTGTCAAGCCACATTACTTTCTCATAATCACTTTAATCACATCTAATTTGGGAATTTATAAAAAAAAATGTTCAGATATAAAATTATTCTATTACAATACTAATACAATTTATTCTTTTCATATCCACATCATTGTAATTTCTTATTTAACAAAACCCCTATTAATTTAGCTCCCACAGACTTGCTTGACAGTTTATTTCTGACGTTTTTAAAATTTCTATGTTAAAATATTTTTTAAGAATTCTTCTTTTTTGTTCTTTTTTAAGGTTTTAGACGATTCACCTATACACTAGGCAACTATACTATTCAGAAATTATTAACACTATACCAGGTAAGTCAAAATTAATTTATTTAACAATTTACTAATCTTTTTCTCTCTTTTATTTCAGATTCGAACCCACATTGTGATGGCTTCATGAAATTCATGAACAACAAACTCACATAAAAATCCATTTAAGTTATATCCTTTTTTAACATAGTGAAATCATTTCAATATATATATATATATATTATATATATATATATATATATATATCTTGTACATACTAATTTGTGTTATTTAATTATTTCTTTTCAAATTATTTTTGGTCTGCTTTACCAAGCCAAGTATTCTGTTTACTTTTCGAAATATTGGGGACGAATGCTCCACCGTTGTTACTTCTGGAGACTGTTTTGTTATTTATATATTCACACCATGTACACTTAAATTCTCCAAATATATTAGATTTAAACTTTGATGGACTTTATTTAATTTAAAATTTAAAATTTGAAAATTCTGAAAAACTAATTAGATTGTATTTTGTATTGTTAATCTAAATACCTTAATTTAATTTCATTGAAACCCACCCGACGCTTCATATTAACTTATCATCAGTTAATATACCAAGAAACATCTGTTTAAATCCACCAACTTCAAAGTGGAAAGAATCGAATGCTGCTTTAATAAATCTACAGCGAATAATAAAAGTCGAAAGTTTTATTTCTTTTAAATTAACCCTAAGTGGGAAGTTGGGCGTAATGCCAGGGACGCCATAGGGATTATTTTTGTTCTAAGAAAATGAATAAGATTTTATATTGCATACTTGAAGTTGATTTAAAAAGTTAGTAACATCAAAGGACCGTGTAGTATTTATATGGAACCAAAAGCACCTGATATTTATTTTATATAAAAACACTTCACGTTCAGTCTAATAAAAATTTTCATACTGCCAAAAGATACGGTTTTGTTACATTTTTACATATACATTGAGATAAAATAGTTTGAAAAAGAAAATAATATTGGTAAATTGGGCGTTACTTTAATTATATAAGTCACGCGCTTAAAATGCATTTTCATCTAATCTCGTTTTTAATTGATGTCTAAAATATAATTCATCATTCCCTTTACACAAAATTTAATGTAAGTATCGATTGTTTTTTAAATAATTAGTAATCAGTGCAACAATGGTTAGAATTAAAGTAATAAACATTAATTAGTAGCGATTTTAAATTATAAATCTTTAAGTTTATTTAATAATAAAAATAACTCAGCTGAAATAATTAAACTAAAGGTAGGTATGTTCTGTCCGAAAACATTTATTTGTATGCGGAGTTGGTGTAATTATTAGACACGTGGTCTATTGACAAGAAGATTGGGGTTCAATTCTCACCAAGGATAAAATTTTTGTTTTACTTAATCAAAAAATAATAAAAAATATTATACATATTAGGTAACAAGTTTTCGAAAAAGTCATTATTTACAATTTATTCTTATTCCAATGTTATAAAACGGAAATACAAAATAATTCAAATTTAAAAAGATATTTATGTGTAACTTTAAACACTTCTAATACTAGTAACGACTGACATAAATATTTAGTGACTCAAATCAAAACGATCTCTGCATAATTTCAAATTATTAAAAAAAAGAAAACCACATATGGGTTTTGAACTCTAATCGTCTGCGTCGCAGTGTCGAATTCTTACCACTAATCCACGAAGGACTGATGTTTATTTCCGTGACAAGAGTGTATGAAACTCCTCAAATCATAGAAATTATTTTTGGTTAATAATTTAAAACTTTAGATTAAATAATCACTATTAATTAATTTATTTTATTCATATTTTTGCTTTATTGTGGTCAATCATTTTTTACTTTATGTGAAATTTAAAAATGTCACGGAAATACGTTACACATACGACGTCACAAATAATAATTATGACCGAGGTGATTTAGCTGGAAGCTAACGTCTAAAGGTGTGAGACTATCGATAGTGTTAATGCAATGTAATGTAAATTATAGGTTTCTATCGATTATTTCCCACCTCTACGAGTTTCATCTCTTTTTATTTTACAAGGTAACTGTGTTTTCTATCTCTTACGTTAAAAAGCCGGGTGATAAAGCACTCACCACTGTATATATGTAACTTAGACATGAAAACTAGTCATAATTTTGTCATACATATAACTTTTTACCACTAATACGTATTGTTTTCAAATAAAATAGTTTAAAATTACCATTCTTCTGAGATAGCTGATGTTTAATTACTATTGACTAGATTGTTGAGAAATTAAAAACAGCATTTTATGTCCTATTATTGAAAATGAATTTCTATTCACGTAACTTACAATTTCATAAATAGTTATACAAACAAGTTATCGGATAGGGCTTATTAGTTTTTTGGTTGTTAAGAAAATAGCTACATATTTACATTATAATTTATCTCAATTATTTTAGAATTAACTTACTTCATCATTTCGTGGTGAATCAATTAACGAGCTAAAGCTTGATCGTGATCCGTGTCTACCAATTTTAGAAGGCTCGTCACCGGAACCAGAGAGTTCTCCTCTACTACGGAAGGGACTAGTTCCAGCAGCTGCCCTCGTCAATCTGTCGTTTTCGACACACTGCGCCAAGGAGATGCCGAATACTAAGCCACCCTGTGATCCGCTGTTTTCTGAAAATATTGATGGTTTTGTTAATTAAACTTGACAAGAGTATTACCAGATTGTAAAGAAAATCAAACATGTAGTAGAAAACGTAAAGGTTATAATGCATCCAGACCGTGTAAATTATTAGTTAAAACTTTATTAAGCTTTATTTAACTTGGACAAAATTATAAAGAGTTTATGTCGATAAACAGTAAACAAGACCATTTTATATCCGTCTTTAATACAATTACAAAAAATGTATACATATAAATTTCTTATGTACTTAATATTTTTGCATCTCCTTTTTGATGCGTTCACAGGTAGGTACGTCCAGCTGGTTACTAGAAAAACTGATACGACTCTTAGAGCGTATTTTGTAGAAAATTGGGCAGTGTATTTTAAAGGATAAATACTTATTATTTTCATACTGTCACTGTCACTGATAAATCTTAAATTTTTTCTAATAACTTATTCTGTTCAACCTCAAAAATGGCTCCACATGCTAGCAAAGAACGAAAAGCAAGAATTGTAACGAAATTAAAGATGGTTGGTCACTATCTGCTGTAGCCAACCATTTTAACATAAGCAGAACAACAGATTTTAATATTAATAATAAATGGAGAGAACAACAAATTCTCGAAAGAAAGCAAGGTTCTGGAAGACCAAAAATATCTACCACTCATCGTATGCTTTTGGAGAGATTAAAAAGAATATTTTGGAAGATGTGAAAACTGCAAGAAATATATCAGTTTCTGGGAAGAAAGACAACAACTTAGCGCAGGATTAAAGCATCTTGCCTTAGGTACCGAACTGCAGCAATAAAACAAGCTCAAACAACAACAAAACAGAGGCAAACAAGACATTTGCTGTAAACCATCAGCTGCAAAATCAAGATTTTTGGAACAGGGTAATATTTACGGATGAGAAAAGAGTAATATTTAATCTTATAAAAAGGCAAAATTGAGGTGTATAAGGATTTAGAGGTGTAGAAGTGTTCTTTATATGTTGATATATATCGAGCAGCTGGTCATTGTAAAGCAATTGTATGGGGATACATTTAATCTAGAGGAATGGGAATGATATGGCGTATTGATGATAGATTTGTTGGGCAGACTTTTCTAAGTATTCTACAAAACATCATGTTTCCCAGTGCAGAAGAGTTGTATCCAGAAAATAAAAATAATTTTATTCTTCAAGATAATTGTCGTGTTTACAATGCAAATATAATAAACCAGTGGCCCCAGAATAACAACATCGAAACCTTACCATGGTTCAGCTACAGTCCAGATTTAAACCCAATTGAAAATGTGTGAAGTGTAATTATAAAACGGTTATATCGACATAATTGTATACCTTAAAATGCAAAAAGCTGTAGCACGGTATACAACACGTTTGGGAAGAGCTTTTTGAAGAAGGCAATTTTATAGTTCCGACGGACCGAAGATTACAAACAGTTATCAATGCTGATGAAGATATTACAAAATATTAATTTTATTTTTAATATTATCTTACAGATCCCCGCTTTCTTTCGAGAGTTTCTTGTTCCCTCCATTTTTTATTAATAGAAAAAACTGTCATTCTGCTTATGTTAAAATGTATTTTTGAGTTAGGTCGCTTGTTTTATTTCTTAATAATAATAAAAATAATAACAACAACCCCATTTTATGTTAAAACTATAATTTATATACTCTTTATAAAATGCAGGAATTCAAAATATTATCAAAATTTAGACCTTAATAATTATTCTTCTTCTTCTTGTAGTGCCGTGCACCTATAGTGCGTTGGCGAATTACCTTAAGGCCAGACGTCTGTCTTCTCCGTCATTCAAAAGATCGCCAGTATTATTTATGCCTGTCCAATTTTTTTATGTTTCGTAGCCACGAGATTTATTTGCAGCCTCTCCTCTCTTGGCTTTAATCTTTCCCTGGATGATTAGTTGAGGGATTGCGTATTTTTTTCCTCTTAGAATATGGCCGAGGTATCCAATTTTTCGTACCTTGATCAAATTGAGTAGTTCTCTCTCAATATTTGCCTTTCTTAAGACTGTCTCGTTTCTCACCCCATCTGTCCATGGTATGCGGAACATTCTTCGCAACATCCACATTTCGAAGGACTCCAACTTTTTAATCGAAGGTACTCTTAACGTCCATGTTTCCATGTCGTATAACAATATGGACCATACATAGCACTTAACCATCCTGTAGCGGAGATTGAAGAAAAGATTGTGGTTACATAGTGGCGGTTTAAATTTGGTAAAAGATTGTTTTGCTTGTTCGTTATTTAAAAATTTCTACTTAATCGATTGGAGCACCATCTACTTGCAGTAATATTCTTATAAGTGCGTTTTATCTTATTGTCATGCATTTAGTTTTTCCAGCATTTATCTTCAAGCCATATATTTTTCCTACGGTGTTTATTTTACGACATTCCTATTCCTACGACAAAATACACCCTTGTCGCACCCCTTTTAAAATTTCAAATTCTTCTGTGTTGGTTGATTTGTTTAGTCTCACTCGTGCTTTGTGAATCCAATAGAGATTCTGGATAACTCTTATATCTTTCTTGTCAATGTTAGCGTTGTATAGCATTTTTATCATTGCGTCATGTTTTACGGTGTCAAACGCTTTTTCATAATCGAGGGATGTTATGACTACATCCTTTCGTTGATCCATGCAGTTTTGTACAAGCGTAGTTAAGCAGAAAGCTGCTTCACGTGTACCTAGTCCGCTCTTGAAACCAAATTGTGTCTCACCGCTTAGATCTTCCAGCTTTCTGAACATTCTTGTGTGAAGGATGCGAAGAAACACCTTAAGCAGATGACTCATTAAACTTATTAGTCTGTGGTCTTTGCATTTTGTCGCTTTTTGTGATTTAGGGATCAATAATAATTATTACAATTTATAAATTATTATTATGTAATCAATTGTTTGTATTTTTGTTTCTTTATTTTATTATTTGTCTGTCATAATAAATATAATATAATGTAAGACCAACTAAGTACACTTGTCAAAATGATCAAATCTTACTAAGAGTCTTATCCGTTTTTTTAGGAACCAGCTATATCAGACAAAAAAACACCGACTCCTTCCAAACAAAAAAAATATATAAAAATGAATTTGTGAATGGTATTAGAGTGTAAATAATATATTAACGTTATTTTACCATTAACTGACCAAAAAGTAATAAATCCAGTTTTTGATATATTTTAAACTAAACAGTACAATGTACTTGGTTAAGTTCAATCTACAATGTGAACTATTTATTTCAGACAATGGGCTTTAAATCTAATATACATTGATATATGAATCATTCAAAATTAAACAAAAGTACATTGAATCGGATTTATGACCAAAAAAACTGGCTTAAATGCATCATGTTTAACTAAACTACCTTATATATTATATCCTTAAAAAGTATTTCTGCAAAAGCTTTTCTTTATTATAAAATAAGCCGCATCCACCAAAAAGGTTATTAGCGACGGAACAAAATATAAATAACAAAATTAAGTAACTACAAATTATAGAAAATGTTTATGGATCTTAGATATTTATATACATTAATAAATTTAACAATTTTTTTTAAATTAGATATTAAATTGTATTATCATAATTCTAATTCTAGTTCTATCCCACGTCCAAGATGGAATTTTAAAAAGGCCAACTGGATTGACTTCTCTGTGGATCTAGATAAATGTCTAGGGTGGATTACACCGAATATCAAAAACTACCACAGATTTGTTGGTGCCGTGCTAAGTGTAGCCAAAAAACACATACCAAGAGGATATCGCAAAGAATATGTTCCTGGCTGGTCGGAAAATAGCGAGGAACTATATCAGAGCTTTCTTGAAACTGGCGACCCAGAAATAGCGATGAACTACTGTACAGCCTAGACGCCGCTAAAATTCAAAAGTGGACCGAAACAGTAGAAAGTCTAAACTTCCAGAAATCAAGCAGACAGGCATGGTTATTACTAAGAAAATTAGGGAGTGGTGTCCGTACCAAACGCCGAGAGGCAGCCGTAAAGCCAGATGCCATAGCATCACATATAGTAAAAAACATCCAGACCACCAAAGGATAAAGCACACACCATCTACGTAAAGAGAGAACTTAAAACTTTAAAACATGTAGGCACAGTAAACGGAGCATTCCCTCCCCTTCACCAGCGAAGACATATCAGAGGCTTCTAAAAGACGTTAAGCCAGCAAAAGCACCAGGATTTGATAATATTCACCCTGAATCCCTACTAAATTGTGGCAAGTATACAAAAGTTTGGTTGGCTCGATTTTTCACAGACATCATGGAAACTGGAAATATTCCACAAGAACTAAAGCGCTCTAAGATAATAGCCATACCAAAGCCAGGCAAACCCGCTGATAACCCAAAAAATTACAGACCAATTGCGCTTCTCTCTGCCATCTACAAACTATTAGAGAGGCTTATATATAATAGAATCACTACAGAACTGTTCCAGGTGATCCCAGTCGAACAAGTGGGTTTTCGACCAGAACGAAGCTGCGCGGACCAGGTCATGTCACTCACCACCTACATCGAAGCGGGTTTCCAAAGAAGACTTAAAACTTCAGCGGCATTTATTGATCTCTCGGCAGCTTACGATACAGTATGGAGAGAGGGCCTTATATACAAAATTCTCCGTGCAATCCCCTGTAAACAAATTGCACGTTTAATAGATAGCATGCTCAACGACCGAATGTTTCAAGTAGTGATGGGCACAGATATCAGCCCACCAAAGAAACTTAAGAATGGCCTACCACAGATGTCAGTGCTCTCTCCATTACTATTTAGCTTATATTTAGCAGATATGCGAGAAACACAATCAAGAAAGTTCAGATACGCCGATGACTGGGCCCTCACTACACGATGCAGAGCACTAGAAACATCTGAAGAAGTTCTGACGGCAGACTTATTAAGCAAATATTTTCGCAAGTGGCGGCTTCAACCAAATGCATTCAAAACAGAAGTAAGTTGCTTTCACATTGAACAATAAACTTGCTGGAAAGGAACTCAAC